GTCAGTCAATATAGTTCTCTCTCCCTCCAACTCCAAAAAGGCTTAGCAGGCTTCATTTTTTATTTTTTTAAGCAAACTCTATGCCCCACATGGGGCTTGAACTCCCCACCCTGAGGTCAAGGGTTGCACAGTCGGCCAACTGGGCCAGCCTGGTCCCCCAAGAGTTGGCCGACTTCAGACCAGAGATCCTCCGGTATAAATTACTCAAGAAGAGCACATGATCTTTTCCGGAGAATTCCCCCACAGAGAAGCAGTCCTCTGGGATAGCTCCCACACAAGCAGGGTGATGCTCCAGGAACAGAGCGGTAGCCACCGGGCTCCTCTCTCCTGGGCAAATCCTGTCTGCCAAACCCTTCTTGGATAACCCACATGGTTTCTCCAAGGCCCTCTTGACATTTTCTCTTAGGAAAATGGGGAAAACCCAGAAGTCAATCAACAACACAGCCCAATCCCTAGAGTTTCAGAGTAAAGATAGCCCACTTGGAAGCGTACGCCCTAGCCTGCACCTTTAAAACGAGAATCATGGGGCACCTGAGTGACTCGGTCGGTTAAGCATCAAACTCTTATCAAACTCTTGATTTTGGCTCCGGTCATGATCTCGGTCATGATTTTGGGGTCACAGGGTTGTGAGATCCAGCCCTCCATCGGGTACCCTGCTCAGCTTGCAAATCTCTCCTTGACATTCATTCTCTCTCTCTTCCCCTCTCTGTGCTCCACCCACCCCCCAGCCCCCACCCTGTGCTTGAGCTCTCTCTCACACACACAAATAAAAAGTAAATCTTTAAAAATAACAAGAACCGTGATGAAAGTGAGAATTGGCACATCCACCTATCTCCCTAGGAAAGCAGTTGTAATCAAGTTCAGGGAGGCTTTGATGTCACCCACATGTACTAAGTCACCGCCTGCAGCTCACACTAGGAACGACCTATAGGAACTCACAGTCTGAGGGGGAATGGGGAAGTGGGACCCAAGCAAACTGGGCTCATTCCTTGGCCCTGCCTAGTACAGCTCCAAGATAAAGGTACCATCCCCCAGCCAAATTTATGTCCCTCTTCTTAGGAGGGAAAATTTCCCCAAATAAAACCTTAAAAATGTACAGGACTGGGGAAAATTTAATTCCTGAATTTTCTGTGTGAGGTTCTGAAATCTGATTCAAGCATCAAAAATATTTTGTTGTCAGCGTACACTAAGATTTTCATTCTTTCAACGGTCAACTTTATGTTTATATGTAAGACTTTGTTAAAAGAAAAAAAAAAGGCTACATTCCATTGTAAAAATAGAGGAAAAGAAAAAACTAGCTAAAGGGGCTTATATAACCTTTTATTTCTCTTGATTTCTAATACTCAAATACAAATTAAATATAAAGGATAAAGCATCATTAAATAACTTGAAATATATTAGATATGCCTCCCGCCACCCCCCCCACCCCCCCCACACACACGTTTCTCACTCGTACAGACATCAGACCAGCCTGGGATCTAAATGGCCCAGCTGCCTCCCAAAATATCTATGGTTTATATTTCCATACAAGGCTATTCTTATATTCTTATGGGCCAACATGTTGCCATGGGGCGGGGGGGGGGGGTGATTCAATGCTTTCCCTGTATGGCCTTTCAGTACAGAAAAGCTGGGAAAACCAGAAAAATATATTTTTTAAAGATGTTCGCTTCTTGGACCTGGACTGCTGGAAGGGCAGTCCTCAACCTCGACCACTTGCATCTCAAAAAAGAGATGCCCAATGCCAAACCTTGCTGCCGGCTTAGTGCAGAGCCAGAGGACCTGGCTACCGTGTTCGGCAATTAAAATATATAATGGTATCAAAACAAGCTTTAGAGAGTGTAAACAACCAAGCCAAACATTCAGAGCTTTAACTGCTTGTACATGACACAACACACCTCGCGACACTTTAAGAACCTTGCTATAAAAAACAACGCCAGCCATACGCAGTGTTTAAGAACAAATACTTGGTTGGGGGCACACACCTGGGTGGCAGGTACCTTTGGCTCAGGTCATGATCCTGGGGTCCTGGGACAGAGCCCCGCATGGGGAGGGAGTCTGCATCTCTCTCTACCCCTCACCCAGCTCTCTCTCGATCTAATAAATAAATAAATTAAAAAAAAAAAAGGAACAAGTATCTGTGGAGGGAGTGAATCCAGCGTAGACTACTACATAATTACGTCTTGCCATTTAAAAGGGGTATTTGAGTACTAACTTGCTAAAGTCTTCAGAAATTGAGGTTATTAAATGTCTATGAACTATAAAACCATGATCTGTCTCTTGCTAAGACTGATTTCTAAACTCATTTTGGAACTCACCCAATTTCAGACCATAAAGGTGCTACGTGGCCTTCAGTTTGACCATCAAGAATTCAACACAAAAGGAAGGCCTAGAAAGGCAGATAAATCGGCCATTCTTCCTGTAAGAGTACTGATTTGCTAAATGCCCTAGTATTTTCCTTTTATTCTCCGGCAGAACTTAAAAATGAAGCTCTGAAAAGAAAACTACAGTTCACTTAACAAAGCTAGGGAGGGAAAGGAAAAAGTCATCCATAGTCTTTCATATATAAGAAAAGCCGCTGGCATTGCCAAAACCCTGAAGCTGCCCGAGACAGTTAAGGCGAGCTGGCTGACACCTTCCTAAAGCCAAAACCTTGAGATCTAGCTTAGAAAATTAAAAGAGCAAAGCTGTCTTATCAAGAACACTGGGTTATAATAGTCACATTTTTTAGAGTGAAAGGCACATCTGGCAGGGTTTAACTTTTAACCCAAGTACGCCAACAAATAGTGCACTCTTATGGAAATTTGTATATTTTTTATAGGGAAACAGTGACAGCCGGTCTTAGGAAAAAATTTCAATAAATCACCAAAGGATTCTAGAACCTTGCCTGCTTAACCGTTTACACAGGTTCAGAGAAACTCAAAGCAGTGAGAGACATTTGCCATCATCTAACCCAATATCCATCATTTATTGATAAGAAAAAGTGGGAATGAAAGGATAGGCACAAACAGGGAGACCAGAAACCAAAATCCAAACTTGTAGCTGTTGGTACTTTCACTACTTTAAAGATGACTAAAATAAGAATTTGAGAGAGGGACTAAAAGAGGCCAAGAAAATGCCTAAACTTGCCTGGATCCACCTACCAGTACAAAACTTTGATCTTCCCTAAGAGATTAAGCTGTCAAACGTTACCTCACAATTCTAATGGTAAGAGCCAAGGGCCTGGACACTAAATGCTTGTGATACCGTAACTGTCACTAGCATTTAATTCAATTGGAAATCATAAAACATTAGCGGTTATTGCGAAATCTTAAGGAGCCTCGAATAAGAGATTTATGGGTTCAAGTCCTGGGTTTTGTTCAGATCACACCCGGCACACTGCTGCCTTGTGAGGCAGTGAGCTCCCCATTCAATGGAAATATTCCAGTAGAGCTGGACGGCCGGAGAAGTCTCCTGGGTGGGTGACACATTCCATAATTCAGACTATGCTTCCCTTAAGCAACCGAGAGGATGCAAGAAATGTAGAAGAAAAAAAAAATCTAATTCAAGAGAAAGGAAACTCTTGGCAGTTAGAGTTGTTTACTTCCTTGTGGTACAGGTGAAGAAACCCAGACCCCGAGGGGTTAAGCATGTCACCCACTCAAGGTCACTTGTGTGATTTATTGACAGGTCAGGAAATCAGCTCTCCAAGTCCCAGCAGAACGCTCTTTCCTTTGTATTTAAAGAGAACCCAGCCCAGTAGTTCAGCTGGCTTGCAGAATAAAGGGTCTAAACGTAAAGATATGGGACGCCTGGGTGGCTCAGCGGTTTGGCGCCGCCTTCAGCCCAGGGAGTGATCCTGGAGTCCCAGGATCGAGTCCCACGTCGGGCTCCCTGCATGGAGCCTGCTTCTCCCTCTGCCTGTGTCTCTGCCTTGTTCTCTCTCTCTGGGTCTCTCATTAATAAATAAATAAAATCCTTTAAATAAATAAATAAATAAATAAATAAATAAATAAATAAATAAATAAATGTAAGTAAAGATATTCAAATATTGGCCTAACTTAGCACAAAGTGTACTTGTCTGTGATATTAACAATCTCTAGAAAGACACACTCACTACACACTGACATTGAAACTTGAAGATTCTAATTCAGAAATCAAGAGATGTCAAAATCGTACCCTCAAAAACTGGTGCAGACCCTTAGCCACTGATGACTGACCGGCCAGAGGATACAGCAGAGGGTGAAGGAAGCAGAGGAAAATGCTGGCAAATGATACTATGAAGGGAAGAAAAACGTGTCTGGGGTAGCGAAAAAAATACATCTTGAGGAAGAATCGGAGATGCTGCTTCCAAAGGAAGAAAACAGAAGAGATCATTTAAAAAAAAAAAAAAGACCTCGGAGCCTCTCGGGTGACCCTCAGTTCTTTACAGAGAGCTCGGCCACCCGCCCCAGTGCACGGGACCCACGCGCGGTGAAGGTGGGAGAGATCATGACTAATTACACGGAGGCGAGGACGTTGAGTAACTTTCTGTACAGTGTCCAAATTACTGAAACAGAATGATTTTCTTTTCCGAGCGTTAAGCCATACCCACAGGAAACAAGCGGGGCTTTCTACCCTAGGAAGCGCCTTAGCTAGTCATGCATTCTGCAACAAGTCTCCATGGCAAATTTCCTAACACACACTTCTAAACACAAAGAACTCCTCCTCCAAGTGAGTGGTAACGAAGAGGCTTGTGCAGCCTCACCCAGAACGCAATTCTCTGCTCCTGGGATCTTTGACGAGAGGATCATAACATGATCGTCACCTTGCCATCCTAAAATTATGAAGAATCATAAAAATCATAGAACTTCTGGAAGCTACAGGCAGGCGGCCTTAGATATAACCTTGTGAATCCAACTACTTCATTTTTCAGACGAGAAAATCGTTAACGCTCCCCTCCCCCCCCCCAAATAAAAGGGACAATAACTTGCCCGAGGCCACAAAATTACTTCGTGGTTGGTAAGGACCATGACCACGGCTCAGACCCACCATGGTCTCCATGAAGCCACAGGCACAGGCTGTAATAACTGTAAAACTGGTCAGAGACATGCTCCAGGGTGTGGAGACCTGTGCTCCGGATCCACGGCACCCCACGGCGAGGCAGCAACACACACACCAGGGGCCACTGCGTGCACAATCCTCTCCCCCCGCCTCCCCCACCACTGGGCCTTCATCTCTTTCTCTCAAGACTCTGGGCGCGCAGGTGACCAAGAGTGACCTGTTACCATTACTACAGGAATAACCTTGAATCTCTTTGATAAAATAAACTTTGGAAGTTTAATACCAGTGAGATTACTTCCCTTAAAACACCCCAGGGTGGACTGTGACAAGCCAGCGTATTGTGACACAGGACTGAGAACTGCTCTCGCAAAATATAAATAATCAGTACAGGTGCAGCCACCAGTGTGAACGCGGGAATCCCGTCAACAATGCTGGGGATTACGTGTGACTCTGCCCCCAGACTCGGATAAAGCAGCTTTCAGCAGGAAACAGACACTGTTGGACTGAACAAGTTTAAACGAGCCTACAGGAGGAGCAGCAGTATCCTCTCTCCGGGGCTTTCTCAAATCTGGACAAAAGACTAAATGCTGAGAATGCTGGATTTGGCAATCCTGTGTGGGAATGGCGTCTGAATTCCAAGCCCCGAGTCTGCCTTCGGTGTGGCCTCCAGTTATTCTCTCTTCACTGCAACGTTTTCAAGGGCCCCCTGTGTACCAGGCCCCGTGGACCCCAAGCTGAGCAAAACCAAGTCTGTGCTCTTGCTCGGTCCCAGGGTCTCCAAGGTGGGATGCAGACATCCCCAGGGGAGCTGAAGAAACCCCATCTACCACTGAGCCAAGAGAAGCAAATAAAAGAACTTTGATTCATCAGCCTCATCTTTTTGACGTGTATCTGCGTCTGTAGTCTTCCGTGTGCAGGCTCTGGAAATTAGGAATCGGCGAACAAAAGTCCGGGACCATGGGTCTAGCCCCTTGGTGTGTCACCGTGGCTCACTAAAGCTATAATGGGGCAGCAGGTCAGAAGTACTTGGAACAAGATCCCAGGTGATCCCAAAGCAGTGGGAGGGTGCACACCCACGGCCCCTGCCCGGCCTCATCTTGGCTTTGGAGATTCAGCAAAGTAGCTGCTTTCTCAAAACGCAAACCCACTGCCTGCCCTTGAAACGCCCTTTAGGTGGGGCAGTCCCGTAATACAGGCTTTTGAGAATGAAATGAAGAGAGCTGAGATGGAGTAAGGATCATGGGGATGTCCGCTCGCTGCAGCTGCAGGTCACAGAGAGCACACCTGCTCCCCGCAGCGGGCACTCTAACCTGGAGGGCGCCAACCACGGGTTTCCCAAGCCTCGAACACTAAATCCTGTTCGGGTGCCCAGCGGACACCGCGGCCCGGGACTACCCCCAGTGCGTCCTAAAGATGCTCTGCAGGCAGGAGCGCGCTCTCATCAACGTGTGGCTATTTCTTCGTGGTTTTAGGTATGGGTGTAAAAGGGCCCTTTTAATCCCTGGACAAGGCTCCTCATCAACACCGGAGGAATCGGCTAGTCAAGGTCTCTACTCCTGGTCACCAGAGTAAAAACATGCTTTTCTAGGACTAGAGAGGCTCGAGGGACGTCAGGTAGAGGCATGAATCCCTTAAGCTTCAGGAGACAGGAAAAAGCAGCCCCATCTCCCCTACCCAGTCCTCCCTGCCTCGCTTTTCCCCACTCCCAGTCCCACCTGCCCACTTACAATGTGCCTTTTTTTGGGGGGGGGGTGAGTTGCTCTTTGCTGCAAGAGCGATTTTCTTTGGTAAAAAGTTAAATTTCACTCTCGGGAGGAGAAGGACTTGAAGCCCGTAAGTGACACGGGAGGCAGGAAAAGTAAAGGGGGGGGGGGGGCTGGCGGCCGAGCCGTGAGGCCGCGTCCGCGGGTCGGGCTGCAGCGGCAGCAGAGGCCTCGGCGCAGCCACCGGGAGGCGCAGCAAGGCCCGGGCTGCCCCGCAAGGACCCGGGCGGCCGCTGCTCCGGGAGGTCCCCGGCCTCGGCTGGGGGGTCCCCGCGTCCCCTGCACCCAGGACCCTTCGGAAGCCTCCGCTGGCCACAGCGCCCGGGCCCGCACCTGCCCGCCCGCGGCCACCCAGCCCGCCGCTTCCCTCCGGGTGGCTCGGGCCGAGGCCGCCCCCACCTGCTCGGGCCCCTCCGGGTTCTGAACCTCGGGCCTGGGGGGGCGGGGCGGGGGGGCAGGAGCGGGGTCTGGGCCCCCACGGCCGCCTCCAGTCCTGGCCCCGCCGCCCTCCCGCGGTGGAGGCCCCTGCGCCCTGGCCCGAGGGGGCGGCCCGGGGGCCACCGCGCGGGGCTCGCCCTGGCGGGGGCTCCCGGGGAGGCGGGGGACGCCGCCCTGCAGCCCCCACGCGGGTGGCCCGCGCCCGGGGCGCTCGGGGGGAGGGGCTGCCTCCTCCGGGGCCCGCAGCCCTGAGCCCTCCCGCAGCCCGGCGGCGCACCCCGGGGCGCCCCCGCAGCCCGCAGCCCGCAGCCCGCAGCCCGCCGCCTGCCCCCAGCACCCCCGTCCCCGCACCCCCGTCCCCGCACCCGCAGCCCCGTCCCCGCACTCACAGCGCTTGGGTGAAGGCGCTCAGGCCCTCGGGCACGGCCGTCAGCCCCTTCCCCGAGCAGTCCACCCGGCGGTCGCCGTCGCAGCTGCAGGGCGCCGCGCAGAGGGGGGGCGCCGCTCCGCTGGGCTCGGCCGCGCCGCGCAGCCCCAGGGCGAGCAGGCACAGCAGCGCCAGCGGGCCCGGCATCGCGGCGGCGGGGCGGCGGGGCGGCGGGCGGGCGGGCTCGGGCTCGGGCTGCGGCTCCGGCTCCGGCTGCGGCTGCGGCTCGCGCTCCGGGTGCAGCTCGGGCTGCGGCTCCGGCTCCGGCTGCGGCTCGCGCTCCGGCTGCGGCTCCGGCGGCGGCTCCGGGTGCAGCCCGGGCTCGGCGGGGACTGCGGCTGCAGCCCGGGCGCGGGCCGGGGCGGGGCGGGCGTGTCGTCGGCGGGCTCAGCGGCCCGCGGCAGCAGCGCAGGGACGCGGCGCTCCGGCGTGCGGCCCCCCCCGCCGCCCCATGGAAGCGCAGACGCAGCCCCGCTCCTCCCGCGGCTCAGGCCAGCCGGCCCGGCCGTGCGCAGCCGCGGGCGCCGCGCTCGGCCATGGCTCCCGCCCCGGCCCGGCCCCCGGGCCCCTCAGCGCCGCGCGGCGCAGCCCGCAGCCATCCCGCCCCGCCCCGGCCCCCGCCCCGGCCCGCCCCGGCCCCCGCCCCGGCCCCCGCGCAGACCCCCGGGCTCGCTCGCTCGCTCGCCGCCGCCGCCCCCGCCGCCCCCCGCCGCCCCCGCCGCCGCCTGGCGTCCCGCTCGGTGCAGGCTGCGCGCCGCGAGCCCCGGGCCGCGGGTTATGCAAATCAGCCAGGTCGGTGCCGAGCGCCCGGGCCCGGAGCGCCATTGGCCGGCGGGCGCCGCGCTCAGGGGCGGGCAGGGCCGGGGCAGGGCCGCGGGGGCGTGTCCCCGCGCGTGAGTGACAGCGGGTCCCCGGGACGCTCCTCGGCGAGGCCCGCCCGGGCGGTGCAGGGGGCGGGGAGCCCGACCCGGCCCGGCCCGGGGCACAGCAGCAGCCCCTGCACCCGCGACCTGCGCGGCCCAGAGGGCGCGGACCCTGCGAGCTGTGCAAAAGGGGAAGAAGGTTCCGAAGAGGAGGGACAAGCCTCCCTCTTGGGCCATGCAGGCGGGCTGAGGCCCCGCTCCGCACCCCAGCAAAGCAGCGCACCCCCGCCCATCCAGGCCCCTCACTTCACCTGAGGTCTGCGAACCGCCGCTGAGAGGCACCGGGGAGCCAAGTCTCAGGAGCAGTGAACCACCCAGGACGCGAAGTTCGGGTGCTCTCCGCCCAGAATCCTTCCCAGGGACTTTAACACCCTCAGACGCAGGGACCTCCGAAGAGGCCCGGGCTGATGTTTCCAAACACCGCACGCTTTTCGCAAATGAGAAAAAAAAAAAAAAAAAAAAAAAAAAAAAAAACACCGAGAAGCCAGCAGCAACTCCGGGGGCGGGTCAAGGTCAGCATCCCTTCCTCTTGGGGACTTCCGCGGCTCCGCACCCCCGTGGAAGTCATCATTTGCACCCGATTCTGTCTTATGGGCGCCTCCTCTCCTCCTTTCCACTGCGCCTTTTGGGTTGTTTTATTATCTACGTCGAAGATGGTTTTCCTGAATGCTTTAAGGCAGGTGGGGTTGAAGATGCCGCTACCGTGAAGTTTACCACTCGCGTCACCTAGGTAAAATTTAAAAAAAAAAAAAAAAAAGGAAACAAATTGAAACAGACCTGAGAAGTTTAAAACGGAACCCGGCCATCATCTTTGCATCTGAGAGTTTATCTTCAAAAAACAATGCCCCGTTGGGTCCATGACTAACATACAATAAAGTGATTTATACGCTAGAGAGTGGACAAATGCAAACGTGCTTGGACTTAGAGTTTTTAAGAATGACATGTTTCCTCTCATTGTGTGTCTGAAAGAGAACTTAAAGATATATGGGCAAGCCCCTGGTTTCGTAGATGAGAAATCTGAAGCCCTCAAGTACTGTGCTCTGCCCAAGATCATCACAGGACCACTCCCCGTCTCCCGGCTCCTTGTCTTGTGCCCTCGGAGCCTTCCCTAAATTGGCGCCCATCACCTAAATCGTTTCTGTCATTTTCTAGCAACTGCCATGAGAAAGTGAAGTGAGAAAGCATTGTGAATTTGGTTTCTTTGATTCTTTTAAGACCGCTCCTTTATAACAACAATGAAAGAGGACAGAATTTCTCCTGCAGAGATACCACTTTCCTATGCTGCTTTAAAACGAGAATTATGTATTAGGGTGATTTTTTTTTTTGCCCCAAATAACTTTTCTCTCTTCTAAAGTAGTGGTTTTTAGACTTCCAGAAGCATAAGAGTCACATGCAAAGCTTGGTTAAAAATGCAAAGTGATGTAATAGGCTTGGGGGGAGCCCAGAAATCAGCATTTCGATGCACATCGTGTGAAAGTGATATGGGTAGTCCATAAACCGCATTTGTCCTTTGCTTCCAAGGAATAAGATATCAGGGCTGGCAACTTAGGTGAAAGGAGAGATTCAGATTTTGGAGAAAAGAGAGATGTAGATCGTACTGAAGGATGAGTTCCTATTGTCTATCAGGTGGAGAAGGTAAGAAAGGAGGGTTCCAATTTGCAGCTTGTCCAAGAAGACAAAATATCCACAGCAATGGCCTTGCCGTTAGCACGTTACTATCTCTTACAGTTCCTATATGTGCTTTACACTGAAGATAAATTGGCCAATTAATCTTCACTTTTTGGATAAGATGCCCTAAGGGAGCAAAACAAATTAATTTTTTAGAGCCTATCCCAGATAACTAGAGAAAAATGATCAGCTCTGGAACCGTAAGGACCTAGAAAGATACGAGGATGAGCCAACGTGTGTTAGCAAGCAAACAGGCAGCAGAGACTCTGTTTCCAGACAGGCTCCGCTTCCCCCATCCTCCCGGCGGTGGGTGAGGGCGTGCGTAGCCCCACAGGCTAAGCGAGAGCACGTGTGGCCTGGCTGCAGAGCTTCTGCACACTCCACAGGGCACGCGTGGGCAGGGGAAAGCCCCCCTTTTTGAGTGATGCTCACCTAGGGGCTCTTGGGCAACGGGCACAACAAGGTGACAGACTAGTGGACAAGCCAGACTTCGGTCCCGCTCACCTCCTCACCAGGCTGCGTAAGTGTCTGCAAGAGGCTCTGGCTGCTGGGCCACGGGCTGCTGTGGAAATAAAAACCGGGAGGTCTTGGGGGCTCTCCTCTATGCCGTAATGATTAAAGGCCTCAAACATACAGAATTTCATTTTTATGAGTTATTTCCAACTTATAGGAAAAACAAAAATCTGAGTTCACAGCCATCAGCCTAAGAAACAAAAATGCCACAAACGTACGCGAAGCTCCCTTTGTACCTCTCTCCAATCTTTGTTGACTTCCCAAGTCAGCTCAACCTGGTAGCTTTATGAAATACGTGTTCATGAAATATCTCATCGTCGTTAACTCATCATTATTACATGGCATCTATTTTAAGGATGCACCCCGTATTTATCCATTCTGTTATTGATACTAAACTCATTTCTACCTTTTCTAACAATGCTACCGTGAATATTCGTGTACAAGTCCCCTTGTTCACGCATGTGACAGCTTCTCTAACGTGCCTTTCCTTGCCACACGTGTATGTGTGCGTGCGTGTGTGTCTAGGAGTGAATTATGTGCACTCACCATTATTGGATATTGTGAAATTGCTTTCAAAAGTGATTGCACTTACTTGTGCTTCCCACGGCGGAGAATAAAAATTCCCATTTCTCTATGCCCTACCAACAGCTGATGTTGCACGACCTAAATGTTCACAAAGCTGATGCATATGAAATGCAATCTCGGTGTAGTTTAAAGTTTAATTTCTCTGATTACAGCTCCATCTTTTCATCTAGTTATTGGACATTCCAGGGCACTCTCCTGTGCATTTGCATTGCCTATTCATTTCCTTTGCCTGTTTGTTTTCTATCGGGTTGTTCATATTTGTTTTCATTTTTAGGGCCAGATAGTTAATACTTTGGGCTTTGCCAGCCATATGGTCTCTGTCACAACTATTCAACTCTGCCAGTGTAGCATAAAAGCAGCCGTAAATGATATATAAACAAATAGATCTGGCTGTGTTCCTATAAGACTTTTTGGGCAAAAATAGATGTTGGACTAGTTCTGGCTCATGGGCCATAGTTTCCCAGCCCTGTTTTATAGGTGCTAAGTGCCTATCGAAGTCTGATTATTTTTGGAAAACTATTTGCAGGATTATGTGAAATTCACAGGGACGACACACCTCGAAGGTGATCATCTTTTCCTACAAGTTAAGATCAAGCACTTGCAAATTTCTGGGCTCTGTGGTGAGCTCATACTGAAGCTTATATTGCAGAATGAGCTCAGAAGAGCCCATTGCAAGGCAAAAAAAAAAAAAAAATGCTCCCCTTTCTGGAATGAATGGTCCACAAAGAATCCTGGGCACTCAGGTTTACCTTACTTTGCATCCAAAAGGCACCCCCAAAACTTTTGACCTGAGGCAATCACATGAAAAATGGCTGTTGACGTTATAAAAGCAGGAGTGCCAAACCTGCCACTCCAAGTTATAAGCTGAACATGTTTATTAAAGACATATTGATTTGCATATATATGTATAAGTGGGTATCGATATGTACATAAACATTTCAAAACATGAAAGATTCAGGGAATAAAGAAAGACTATCACACCCATCAGCAATCCGGTTTATAGCTAACGTTGGAGTCCTCAAGGGCTGCTGTTCATATGCTCTGAGTCCTCCACATTTGCATTTGGGGCTAGCGGAGCTCCCACGCTGGTTCAGAGGCTTGCGGGCTTTCCACCCTGGTCTTAAATAGGCACTTTCACCCACTTGTCCTTCTCTTCCGTGACTCAGTGTCCCTAGAGTGGTCCTGTTGTGGATACGACCTATTTTTTAGGGATAATTTAAAACAACAACAATCACTTTGAAACACAAAAAATAACAATGTGAATTTTTTTCCTTTTTTTTTTTTTTTAAGATTTGATTTATTCATTCATGAGAGACACACAGAGAGAGGCAGAGACACAAGCAGGGGGAGAAGCAGGCTCCCTGCAGGGAGCCGGATGTGGGACTTGACCCCCGGGATCACAACCTGAGCCCAAGGCAGATGCTTAACCGCTGAGCCACCCAGGCGCCCCAAAATTGTTGACATATTAAAAATAATCGCTTCAGTTGCACTTGTGGCCAAATTTGGGCTTCTGGGCCCACTTCGTCTACTGCTATTTGTGCAGAACTGAGAGCCCTTGGGATGTGAGGACAGGCAGCGAGGCTTCTGGAAACCAGCCCTTTTCAAGACGTCACCAAAGAGTCCTTAGATTCCAGACCTGGTTGGACATCGCGGGGGTCAGAGACCCTTTTCAATAGTTCTGAAGACCCACATTGACCCCACATTTCCACACATTTAGGTAAATATCAGAAATATTTGCCTATTCATGCCTAATCCTTGCAAACCTGATTTTCTCATCCTGATCTCTCCCAAGAGGAGAGTGACACTCAAGGGAACAGCTTCTGAATGACGGAACCGCATGTGGCTGCCAAGGCCTGAGTGCATAAAGTGCTGGCCCGACCTAGACGGAGGGGGAAGCGTTACAGGAGCCAGGCACTGTAACCCGTGCAACAGTAAAGGTAAAAAAAAAAAAAAAAATCAGAAAGGAAGTCTAGAAAGATTATAACCTAGTCACACCGAGGATTTGTTAGCGCCAAAGTGTTGATAAAGTTCTGTCACTGACTTGGGTTCCTTTTTACTCTCTCAGGATTCCCAATAAAACTTTGCACACGTGAGGAAGACCATAGCACGAGACAGCCACGTCAAAGAACTACGTGCAAAATGTGTGCGGCTCGCAAAATAAGCGCACACAGAGGACCAGCCCTGGGCGAGGTCTTACCTGGCTCCCGAAATAGCCTGGAACGCTCTTCCTTGTCTGCAGGAACGGACTTGGGAAGGAATCGAGAAAAGGAGGCGGCAGGAGAAGCTATGGGGGTGGGGAGAGAAGACAGGACGTTCTGCACATCCTGCTCCCGCCTTGCACGCCGCCGCCGACTGTGTCCACGAGGACACTGCCAGGCCCTCCGTGGGTAATTCCAAGGCCTTTCTTTTTGTCCGGTGACAGTTACGACGACCCTCCTCACACTAAGGAGGGGCGAGGACGATGAAAACTTGAACAATCCTGGGGCTTTTGAAATGTCTTTAAAATCTTTTCTGAAACAAACCAAAAAATCAGAGACCATGCTTTTCTTTTTTAATATCCCAAATTTATTTTATTTCTAAGCAAGCTCATTGAAATTTTATTTTCATTTTTTTAATTTTTTTAATTTTTATGTGTTGGAGTTCAATTTGCCAACATATAGCGTAACCCCCAGTGCTCATCCCGCCAAGTGCCCCCCTCAGTGCCCGACACCCAGTCACCCCCACCCCGCCCACCTCCCCTTCCACCAGCCCTGGTTCGTTTCCCAGAGTTAGGTGCAGAGAGCACAGTTTTTAAAACACAGGCAAACTACCAACGGTCTGTAATTTTCCAGATTACCTGAGAAAGGAGCAAAGAGAGCAATGGAGACTGGGTCAGTGGTGTTGGGAGTTAGGAAGACGCCAAAAATACTGCTCTGGGAGCCTGTGGAGCCTGGGCGGCAAACTCTTACTACTATTTATTAATCTCTTTTTGGCTTCATGTTAGTGTTAAAATATATTAATTCAGTTCAAAGAAGACAATGAGGAAAGTTAAAAAATTTCAATATGAAAGAGTGAATGGAGGACCTTGAGGTGATGGACACACACACACACACACACACACACACACTCACACTTTCCAGTGAGCTCTACAGCCAGTGCGGGGTTCGAACGCATGCCCCAGTGATCAAGAGTCACATGTTTTACCCACTGAACCTGCCAGGTGCCCCGAGGTGACAGAGAAACATATTATCGTCACTTGGCCAGTTTGCTCCTTTTATTTCAGAATAACGCAAACTTGCGAAGATCTCTAACATTTTCTGGATTTTTTTTTTTTTTTTTTTTTTTTTTTTTTTTTTTGTCCAAGCAATTTTTACCACCTTCCTCCTCCTGAGACTGCTCTGCTAGGGAATAAAGAGTTTAGGTTAATGCAGGGCGGTCCACCGTCAACCACCGGAGGAAGATGCCTAAAACTGGCCCGTGCACTGGTTCTGATGTCCTAGGCCTGGGGTGGGCCCGGACTCTCAGTACCTCAAAGTCCCCGATGCCGAGGTCGTCTCCCACCCCAGTGTCCGACGCTCTGCGAGAAGATTGTGCCCGCTGGCTCCCTGGGGAGCAAACCCGATGCCAGGATGGCTCGGCCTACTGGGGGAGCCGGGAGGGTATGGAGGGGGATGCTTCTGAGGAAAATGGGGAGGGGACGGGCAGAGTGAGACGCTAGGAGCCGAGGGATGGAGACACAGGGACGGAGACACAGGTTTGACTCCAGGCCGGGAGAGAAGGAAGGGCGAGAGGGTGGGGGAGTCTCCGTCCGAAGGGCGCTTCCATCCCCGTCTGGGGGAGACTCACCACGCAGAGTCCCTTGTCTCCTGAGTCTCCAGCTGCTGTGCTGGTCACTGACCGGGTCCTGCCCAGCGGGGCTGTTGGTCACTTGGCCTCCCTGTGGTCCGAGGTGCGTGTCCACGGCCGAAGAGCCTCTGACGAGGCCTGCCTCCCTTCAGGCGCCTTCCAGTCCACCTTAATTTATGGAATCTAGAAAACTTAGGGCTAGCAAGGACCTTAAGGCTCGTTCAACCACCTGCCTGAGGCTGCAGAATGGGCCACAGCGTCTGTGTCACTCTGGGACCCGACGAGGAGCGGCACATTCACTCCCACCACTGGCCCAGGCCATCCACGGGCCGCGGACCTCCAGAAGGCACCAGCCCGTGTGGTGCCGGGCTGCCTCCTGGATGCGGGGAGTGCTCAGAAGTACAAGGACACGTGCGGCACGTGTGTCAAACCCCGACGTGCAGGAGGGAGAAGGCAGGCACACAGGGGGACAGTCAGCCGTGAGCGGGGCGCGTCCCTGGGCCAGTGGCTCTACAGTCGGGTTACTCTGTGTTTTTAATTTGTAGGGAAAAGAGAAAATTCTTCACACATTTACTGTCCCACGAAGCGAGACAATTGCAAGGCCTCAAATGGCCTTTGGTTTATTTAGGGAACGTGCCCGTCCTCTCTGAAAGGACTTTTCTCTCGATCAAACATCCTGTCTGGGCTCCGGGGAAGATAAGGACGAGGCCGAAAGCCGAAGATCCTTCCCAGTCAACTGATGTGGTTGGGAGTCGAGGCCGAAGATGACACCACCCGATCCTGCGCCCGCAGGCCCTGCCCGCTCTGCCCAGCCGTGGCCACCTATGCTCGGCTGGGGGTAACTTGCAGAGGGACGTCTGGTTTCCTTCTAGGGAGGTTTGAGTTTCCTCAGTGACGAAGTTTTGGATCTTATAAAATACATTTGATGTTGCATTCAAAAGAAAAGATTGTACAGAAGAAGCTGTTATGTGACCGCAGAAGAAGGTGCGCAGCACTCTCGCGGCTGCTGTGGTCCTCCCCCCGCGGCCCTCCCCCCCCACACCGCGGCCCTCCTCCCCCCCACACCGCGGCCCTCCTCCCTCGGCCCTTCTCCTCCAGGGCCTCCTCCTCCCTCAACCCTCTTCCCCCCCCCGCGGGCCCTCCCTCTCCCTCAACCCTCCTCCCCTCCCCGCGTCCTCCTCCTCCCTCAACCCTCCCCCCCGCGGCCCACCTCCCCCCGCGGCCCTCCTCCCGCATCCCTCCTCCTCCGTCCCCTGCGGCCCTCCTCCAGCAGCCACCCCCCCCGCCCTCCCCCCGCGCCCCTCCTCCCCCCCCCGCGGCCCTCCCTCTCCCTCAACCCTCCTCCCCTCCCGCGGCCCTCCTCCTCCCTCAACCCTCCCCCCCTCCCCGCGGCCCACCCCCCCCCCGCCCCCCTCCCCCCCCCCGCGGCCCTCCCCCCCCCCCCCTCCTCCCCCCCTCCCTCCAGCCCTCCTCCCCCTCACCCTCCTCCCCCCCCCCCCCGCCCCCCTCTCCCTCAACCCTCCTCCCCTCCCGCGCCCCTCCTCCCCCCCACACCGCGGCCTTCCACCCCCCGCGGCCCTCCTCCCTCGGCCCTTCTCCTCCAGGGCCTCCTCCCCCACGGCCCCTCCCCCCCCCGCGCTCCTCCTCCTCCCTCAACCCTCCCCCCCTCCCCGCGGCCCACCTCCGCCCGCGGCCCTCCTCCCGCAGCCCTCCTCCTCCCTCCCCTGCGGCCCTCCTCCCGCAGCCACCCCCCCCCCCCGCCCTCCCCCCGCGCCCTCCTCCCCCCCCCGCGGCCCTCCCTCTCCCTCAACCCTCCTCCCCTCCCGCGGCCCTCCTCCTCCCCAACCCTCCCCCCTCCCCGCTCCCCTCCCCCCGCGGCCCACCTCCCCCCCACACCGCGGCCTTCCACCCCCCGCGGCCCTCCTCCCTCGGCCCTTCTCCTCCAGGGCCTCCTCCTCCCTCAACCCTCCCCCCCTCCCCGCGGCCCACCTCCCCCCGCGGCCCTCCTCCCGCAGCCCTCCTCCTCCCTCCCCTGCGGCCCTCCTCCCGCAGCCACCCCGCTCTCCCCTCCTCCCCCGCGGCCCTCCCGCTGCCACCCTCCGGGACGCAGTGCAGGCTCGGAAGGCCTTTCGGTGCGGCCCCGGCCCCGGCCCCGGTGGCAGCGTCGGGCTGGGCCAGCCGCGGCACACCGGGCCGGGCCGGGCCGGGCAGGGGCGGGGCGGGGCGGGGTGGGCCCGCCGGGCTGCAGGCCGCGGGGGCCGCCGGCAGGGGGCGCGCCCGGGACCGCGTGCAGGGGTGCAGCCGCCCGCCCTCCTGCCCGCGGGGTCCCAGGGGGCCTCGGCCGGGCCAGACGTGGAGCGCCGGGGCTGCGAGCAGGAAAGACAGCCCGCGGGCGCCCTCTTGTGGCCAAATGTGAAAGGCTGCGAGGAAAACGACGGTGCACGTACCCCTGCGGCTCCGCGCGGCGGTGGGGGGTGGGGGGTGCGGGGTGCGGGGTGCGGGGTTGTGCCAGTGCCGCCCTCCGGCCTCAGTAACATTTACTTTTAAAGAATATTTTATCTGGGACGCCCGGGGCGCTCCGCGGCTGAGCCCCAGGTCGCGACCCCGGGGTCCCGGGATCGAGTCCCGCATCGGGGGCCCCGCAGGGAGCCTGCTTCTCCCTCTGCCTGGGTCTCTGCCTCCCTCTCTGGGTCTCTCATGAATAAATACATAAAATCTTTAAAAAATAAAAACATAGATTTTATTTGACCAAGAGCACAAGTGGGGCACTTGCGCTCTCATTACGTCTCTCAAAAATCTTGTTAAAAATGAAAATATTTATAATACAACTCCCATTCTCCCAATGTCTGCACATTTTAAAAATGACTTAATCGATGGTTCAAAACGTTATTGGGGGATCCCTGGGTGGCGCAGCGGTTTGGCGCCTGCCTTTGGCCCGGGGCGCGATCCTGGAGACCCGGGATCGAATCCCACGTCGGGCTCCCGGTGCATGGAGCCTGCTTCTCCCTCTGCCTGTGTCTCAGCCACTCTCCCTCTCTCTCTCTGTAACTATCATAAATTAAAATAAAAATAAATATCAAAAAAAAAAAAAAAACCCAAAACGTTATTGGGCGCCCAAGCACTCTCTGAGGCTCGTGTCCCGGCTCGTGGTTTCCCTGGCCCAGCGGAGGCGCGCCCTCCGGGTGGGGGGGGGGGGGGCGGAGCGCGGCCTTGGACGGGGGGGGAGGGGGGAGGGGGAGGGGGGAGGGCGGGGGAGCAGGGGGATCGCAAGGTGTGCAGAGCGTCTCCCGAGCACAAGGGTCAGCTGCCGGGACGGAGCAGCACCGCTGGCTCGGGCCGAGCAAACGCCCCCGGACGGCAGGGAGCCCAGGGAGCCCAGGGAGCCCAGGGAGCCCAGGGAGCCCAGGGCGCTCGGGCGAGAAGACACTTCTGCAGTGGACGAGAACTAGGCGAGCTCTCACGCAGCCCGTAGAGAGCATGCTGCCCTTTTTTTTAAAATTTTTTTAAATTTTTATTTATTTATGATAGTCACACACACAGAGAGAGAGAGGCAGAGACACAGGCAGAGGGAGAAGCAGGCTCCATGCACCGGGAGCCCGATGTGGGACTTGATCCCGGGTCTCCAGGATCGCGCCCCGGGCCAAAGGCAGGCGCCAAACCGCTGCGCCACCCAGGGATCCCCCCATGCTGCCCTTTTTACAGAGAACCTAAAATCGAAAGAATATTCACTAAACGAACCTGTAGGAATGTACCTTTTGCTTACGTATAATCTTAAAAATTCCCTCAGGTGGAGCCTCTCTGCCACCCAATAAAGAAGTGCACAAAAAAAACACAACTGGTCACTACTTCATTAAAATCACAATAAAGAAAGACCCTGAACTGCAGAACCAGAAGGGAAAACTTAGAGAAAGGGCCCGGGGGCTAATATTCCTAAGAAAGTGGATGCGAACCGGAAGTGCTCTCACTACCCCCTTGCGGCTCGGGGCATCTCCACGCATCCTGAGAATTCACGATGCCGCAGGAGGCCTTTGCTCGCCGGGCTCCCCTTCCAGCAGCCCGCGGTCTCTCGAGCCAGCTCCTGTCCTACCAAATCCTTTCTGATCGAACAAACCCCTCACTTGCGCTTGGTAGGATTTTCATTCAGCGTGTGGCCCAGTCCTCCGCCCCTAAAACTGCACTTAGAATTCCGTTAGTTTCTTTGATCCGAGTGGACAGAAATCTGACAATTCCTTAGGAATCTTATTCCTTACAAAGCTCTTATTCCTATTCCTTATAATGTTTTCAAGCATTATTTAAAGGGTAAGACTCCTAGGCATCAAAAGTAAGAACTTGCTCATTTTGATTACGTGGCCACAGTCTTCCTTTGGCTGATAACTTCCCTGAAGCTTTTACATGCAAACAATAGCAAAGACACGCAGCGATCGCCCTTCTAAGGGCTTCACAGATCGTGACCTCACCGCTACAGGCACTGCTGCCCGTGACAGACGAGGGAACCGAGGCACAGAGAAGCGACTCGCGTCAGATTACAGGCCACGGTGGCTCTAGTGTGAATCCTAACACTAGGGCAGCCAGCCCCCAGCGCTGCGTCGCCGATCATGCCATGCTGCCTCTCTCAAAATAACACACGAGATTTTTTTTCTGTAGTTATATTTTATGAAAGACAAAATACGGGAGTTCCAAGTTTCACCACGGTAACCATCATACATTATGCTTTTTACCTTATTTAGAAGTCATTTTATACAGAGCTTTCAGAGACACATTTATTGTGCAGTTATGCCATTTCTTCCCCAAATCCAACAAACAAGAACATAATACAAGTTTATTTTAAATAAACCTCAGAATCAGAATTAAGTTGGTAAATGAAGTCATCTATTGAAAAAGTGTTAAATCTAGTTGGAGTATATTTCTTTGCCTCAAACCAAAGAATTAAAGTAGAAGCATATTGTTGCTGATATTTTTAAAGACTATGTCCAGATACACGTTAGTTTGGAAGTTCTTGAAAGTTAATGAGCAAGCAATTTGGTTTTCTCCACTATTTCATCATCAAAGAACTGCAACAACCGTTGGAGAAACGCTATTAGTGAAATTCTGGACAACAGAAAGTGTAAAACCAGATTGTTAGGAGACAACAAAAGTTAGGAAATTCATAAACATACATTTATTCAAGAAATACGATTACCAGAGTCCTTGATATTTCAGTGATCATTCCACATTATAAAATATTCACAACATGTATTCTTTTTAAGTCTACACCAAGTCATGCTGACATTCTTTTCAGATAAGCCATAGCCATTAAATGCAATAATATCCATGTAAATTGTAAACAAAGTACTTGAGCCAAACTACTTAAGTATTAAGTACTGAGCAAAAGAACTAAAACATTTAGTAGAGGAAGACGATGATTTTTAAAAAACACATCTGAATTACCAAATCCCAAAGAACTAGGCCATTATAATCTAGTATACTAATGGAGAAGGTGGCCCTATGAAGACAGTACATAATTATCGATGACAGTATTACTCATCTGCAGTTTTTAAATAGGCTTTCTCAATTAATAAATTTATTTTCGTTAAATTTTAAAGGCCAAAGGGGCAGAAAGATGACAGAAATTAAACTACTGGCCAATTAAAGAAAAAAAGATAAGATGAACTATAATTACTTCCCAAATAAGGAATGCCAAGTACCTTTTATTCCTCAAGAAAGTACTAAGGAAGATAATCAATTATTGTATTTGCAGCTACTAAACAGTAGCTATAAATTGAACTATTCTGTTCTGATACTTCCAGATAAGAGTCCAGTGTAGTTAGAGCATTTTATAAAGGGGAAAGCAAGTGGTTCTCTACCCTACATGTCCTTTAGAACCACCTGGAAAGCTTAAAAAAGTAAGTATCTGGTCCCACCCTGGGAGATTCTGAACTTACCTGCTATGGAATGGGACTCCTGTATTATTAGAGTTTTTTTAAAGCTCTGCGGGGTTTTCTAATGTGCAGTGAAGGTTGAGAAACCACT